CATTTTCTGATCTGACTGTTTGAAAATCGTAAAAATTCTAAGTTAAACTGCCCGAAAATGTCCGAAGAATTCTACACAAGAAAACTGATCATACCGAAAGGCGTTTTGGAATCCGGCAAAAATATCGTGGAAATTCCCGAGGCTTGCGAGGACTCCCGAGTGCTCATTGCCAAGTTGCAGCCGAAAAAAGGCAAACCTTCCTCCCGGTTTGGAGGAGGATCCGCCCCTTGTGGAACGTGCGGCTCATCCGCACAGCCTCAAAGGAATGCGTCCCGCCATAGAATGGCTTCAAGCCACAAGGAAAATCTTCCAGAAGGAATGGTGCCTGATGAACTGGACTATGGAATTATCAACCAATCCCTGGCTGACTTGGAACATGTGGAGATTCGGGAATTTAAGAACGTACAAGAGAAAATGAGGCGTTTCCAGGATGCACGCAGAGATCTGGTGATTAGTGTCCTCACTCTGCACGAAGCAGATGTTTCCGACTGAGAAGATCCAAGATTTTAGCTCGCAACGAATTTATCTATAGGTTTTGCAGCCGATAAAAATCCACACAAACGCCAGCACTTGTGGTTTATTAATTTAGAGAAATAAACAATTCCAATACTACCAGAATGTTAATGCTGTAGTCACCTACTTAAAGAAAACCACCATGCTAAACGTGCAACCAAACAATAAACGCTGACCTTTTGACGGCAATTACCGTCGATCCATGAAACGTTTTGGTTCTATTAATGTATTTCCTTCAAATTTCAAAGAACAAAAAAATGGTATGTGACAGAACACCTAATTGCCACATTTTTAAGACCAGCGTCAACGATCCCATGGCAAGGTCTCAAGCTGCTCAACCAAAAATAGGACTATTTTATGGATCCCCAGCCTTGAGTAGGAAGATTAGATATAATTGTTTAATTTACTTGAATGAAATTGCTCGCTTCTTGCGGAAATTATCTTTTCAACTCAAGATTTCGAGCGCAATTTTAAATCAGAATAGCAACCGCAAATGATAAACGAGGAATTCGTTCGATTTTTATCCATCGGAGGGGAACTTTACGAAATTATGGCGGAAATAGAAATGAGCATAAATTCGGCAAAAAAATGTACGAATTATCTATTTAATTTACTAAGTAAACCTCTTGAACAACTCGCCTGGGATTTTTGAAAAATTGTGATAATTCACAGTGAACCTCGATAGTTGATGAATATTTCGCCACACTGATGACTTTGTAATGAAAGCTGAACCACGAGCCGATAAGCCTCAGTCCATTATTAATAAAAGCTTTATTAGAAATTATAATATTTAGGTGATTGAGCGGCAGTCTGGCAAACTTCACAATGTTGAGAAGCTTTCGAATAAAAACTGAATCGAAAAAACCAAAATAGTTCTCGAAAGGGTCTGAAGAAGTCTGATTAATCAGGTATTTCCAACCGTTTCCGAGATAGAAGCTATTGAACCTCAACTGCCGCGCAAAAGTTGGATTTCTCATTTTAACTATTCCAAAGCGCGAAATTTCTGATCAAGCCTAAATTGAAAAAGATAGTTTTCGCCATTCTCTATCAAAAAGTTCTAATATGTATTTGAATATAATCAGCGGTTCCCGAGATATACACGAAAATGTGCAAGGATTAATCAAAATGTGATCGTCATTCTTTGTTTCCGCGGGATGAATAAAAGCTAGCTTTACTAAAGGAATAAAAATATATTTCCTATAGGTACTTGTCGATAATAATTCAATTACGCGATACACTGAGCAAACAATATGCTTAGTAAGTGAATAGTTTTTGAGATATCAACCAAGTCAATATGAACTCGAAGTATCTAAATATTTGCCCAGCCAGATTCCAGTGAAGTTGTACTATGGAAATCAAGTACCCTTTGTTCCTATACATATAAAGGTTACATAATTAATGGATTTAGGCAATATATATTAACCAGTTATTTTACAACAGTGGATGAAACTTGCAAGGTTTTGTCTAGAGAAACGTATCAGAAAAGAATAATTGGATAAATTCCAAACGGCTATTAGGTCCAAGAGATAACAGCAGATAAAGTTGGGAAACTATTGTTCCTAGACTCAAAACTGATAAAACCACTCATATATGAATACAACCGGGGTTTCGAGTCGTATAAATTTAAAGTATTTGTAAGAAGGATACCCATCTTTGATTGTAATGCTCGTAAATAAACTTGATAAGAGACTATTGCGTCCGAACTTTTCCCGTAATCAATTCTCGGATAAACTAACGAAAATCTATACAATTTTCTAGTGCATCTTACTCCAAGATTTTTCCTATTACACTCTGACCCATTTACATGCCTTATCGATTGTCTGACTGCATCATGCAATTGTTCAAGCTTGAATATATTGTACAATAAAACCGTGAAAACAAATCGGATAACCGTCACACTATTATTAGATCCCAGAACGATAAAACAAACTGGAATCCTTGAATTACATTGTTTGCCAGAATTTGATTGCAAAAATTCTAATCGGCAAGCTTATTTTGCGCTATCTTGAGTACGTCCTCTTCAATTAAAAATCAATAAATATGAAAATTACCATCGTTTAAACAATTCCGTAATGTCGCTCGTAATCTATCGTAACGTATACCGGCGGTATGGAATATGGGATATAAAAAAACATCGTTCACTGATGGCTAAGTGAAAGCAAATACGATCTATGTAGTTTCTTTCTTGTAAATTGCTTTTATCATTCATCTGGCTCTTAACAAATTAGCAATATCAGACACCAACTGTATTATTTTTATGTTTAACAGTTTTGCAAATGCTTACTATTATATATCAGTTCAATCACTGGCAGAAACTCGCCTGTTTTTTTTTATTAAAAAGCCTGACTAATTTTTCAAAGCTTGCAATTAACAAAGCATCTCAACAGTATCTCTGGCATTGAGTTTAATAGGGATTTTTTTAAATTGCGCTATTTAAACGGTTTTTATCTTGACTTAAATCTAGAGTGGGTTTGTTCCGTCGATTATTTTAATAATAACAGAGCGTCCCGTTTCAGTTTATCTGGAAGAGTGGCTTGATTTATCTTGGATGAGTTTCAGACCGGAAGATTATCTGAGTGACTCAGATAATAGTTATGATTGATAGCGCACAAGTCCGTTTTTCTTAATGTTTCCCATGCACACAACCATCAAAAATTCGATTGAGAACCACCTGGTGGCTATGGCAAATTATTGCTTAAACAATAGAAAGTTTGGAGCCCTTTATTGACCCGAAATATCATCAAGATCGATCAATCGAGGAGCGTTCCAAAAACAAACAAATCCAGTCGCCAAACCGTCCCAAATTAGGAAATTTTCCGGCCTTTCTATCAATTCAACGCCTCAAAATGGCTCTGAACCATACCAATCGGATAAGAAAGTGAACACGAACATTGGAAAATCACAGAAAACAAGATAAGGGCAACAGGAGCAACACAATTTATTACATCGGTGGAAACCAATTAAACTAGACAGATCCAAATAGGCATTTCATAGTATCGAATCACGTGCACTTCTGGCACTTGGAAATTCAAATTCTGCTGAAAAAAAGATCGATGTTAAATATCTTCTAGAAAACCCTGCAGTATCTTCACGAACTCAACTTGCCTCAGGAATTTTGGTTGGACAATACTGAAGAGGTGGAAGTAGATGAAGCAGAAATAAAGTGCAATTGCTTCCAAGATGATCACGAATTGCACGTTTAAAAACAGTTTATTTGGTTTTTTATCAAAATAATTTAACGTTTACTTTGGATGATTTTATTAAGAGGTTTTTATAAAACTATGGCCTGTATTGCATTTTCCAAAACAATACATATTTCCAGAAGTGCGTCCAAACAAAACCAGACAGGTACCGATGTAATTAAATTTTTCAGTTTTCTGCGTTATTTGTGAAGAAAAAAAATATTTTGCATGTTTTTGGCAAAATACTGCACTTACTTGCTGTATAATTAAAAAAAAAATCCTTATCACTTCTAGAATTATTCAGATATTTCTTGAAGGGTGTTTTTTTTTGGTGTGCCACTGAAGTCTGACCACAGACTTTCAAATTTCTTCTTTAATTTAGAAACATTCTTGCTTCTTGCATTTTTTTAGTACCGATCAGCGTTTTTTCGTGCTTTTCTGATACCTTGCAAATAACTGGAAACAGTGGCAGATACAAAAACGATGCAAGAGCCAAAAAAGTTTCTAAATTAAACAAAGAATTTGAAAAAAATCGGTTGTCTGATAAATTGCACTGTATTAACTGGTTTATGGTAATGGTATTATGGTAATCAAATAATACAAATCAAATAGCTTGAATGATTAATGATTTGATGTTTTCTCCACAAACTGCACTGTTCCTCTAAAACGGCTGACATTAAGGTTTTGGACTAAAAGCACCTTTTTTATGTACAAAACGTAAGCTATCAAAAAGCGACTGTTTTCAGCAGCGTAGAATTTAGGGGCAAATTAGTCTCATCGATCTCAAATAGTTCCCCAAACATCCTGCAAAATCTAAACAATATTTTCACTCTGTACTGCACGTTGTCATGAGTTTCCCTTCAATTTTTTAATATCCCACACTCATTGTATAACCAGTTATTCAGTTCAAACGTAAACGTGGTTAAAAGCCTCTAAGGAAAATTAAATTTATTGCCAGTATAATTTAGCGATAATTATAGTTTCCCATTGTTGAATTAGTTGCGCTAATTATATACATTTAATATTTAATGTACTGATTTAGTTTTAGCTACATATGAAGCACGTTAATGTGGAATAAGTGGCGATTTTTCGAAGCTAAATATGTTGATGTGGTTGAAATGAGGAGATAATTGACTGTGTCCACAAACAATTTGCAATAAAAAGTAGGTACATGCTAAAGTAGACCTTTGAACCTGCCTCATCGCGAAACCAGTTACTGTATGGGTACTAAAATTTACATTCTAGAAACCCGTAATGAAACGTTTTCATCAATGATTAATCCACAGGTAGATGCTCAGAGCTGATGAAAACATGCTTAACCCACTGATGCTTTGCTGCAACTGCTTCATTGGCTTATCATCTCAATAAACAAGATGTGAGAATGGAAAATAATCCTACATGATAGCGGTGGTTTAATAACATTACAAAATACATATAGCAGATATACCTAGACCACGTAATCAAACGATTCTGCAGCAACTTATAAACATATCATTAATTGATAGTTAACAAAGTGCTATTTGTGGAGCGCAATTTGAAACCCCAGCAACATTATGCAATGAACAATACTCCAACAAGCATAAATAAGGAATTCGCTGAAATGTTTGTTCTGTATGCGATATTACGCACATTGAACAGTGACAACGGAAACCAGCCGCTCTAATAGCATAATTATTGTTCCACTAATGTTAGATCAATTAGCTTAATAATGGGGCAACAAAGTGCACAGCACAAAGCCAACACAGGGATTGGGACTTTAAAGTTAAAAGAGAACGCACGATACGCGGAATTCGGTGCTTTCCGTTGCCGTAAGGCATTTAAATTTAATTTTACACACCGAATTATCATAATGGTATTTATGTTCTAGCATACCAATCATGTGATAGGGAATGTGAAGAGCATATTATGGGAAAACGGGCATGCAAGTGCACTTACTTCGCTTGACGGCATCCTCGTAGCTTAGGCAAGCCCTTTTCGAGTCTTTTGCACCCATTTTTTTATATTTTTACATAGTCTCTGGTCACTTATAACAACAAATAACGTTCACGCACATTATTCAACCACTATTATGACAGCCATATATAAACTATAAACACTGCCTTGAAGTCTGACACTCTCGATGTCAAATTGAATCATTCGATTCCGAATTATTCTGTCCTTCTAACTCCACTTCGAACAAAAACCACACACTTCTAGCCGCTTCTAGATAGAATTACTGTTTCTACTGACACTCCACTTCACTGATACCAATTGGAATGAGAGATTTGTCAATAAAAATATTATCTGACATTTTTATTATCTACGCCCTGGCATAGACCGCAGAGATGGCGTCCCGTCGCCTGCCCAACGTTGCAATATTCCTTTTTTTTATTTAGTCCAATTCTTTTTTTAAAATTTGCTGACCTTTAATCCGCAAGTCAATGGCTTTTTTCAGTAGCAGCGTAAAGCGCAGTAAAGAGGCGTGAATAAAATATTGATATTGGACAGACGTGAGAAATTCCTAATAGAAACTTTGTAACATTGTATAGCATATGCAAGTGTCGCTTTAATTGTCAGCATAGATAAAGACGAGTATTGTCAATTGTCAGTGCCCATTGAGGTTAGACACAAAATATCCCCCCTGGGGTATGTTCTGTGGAGGTTAGAGTTCTATTTACGTTTTACCTGTCATAAATCATCAAAAGATTATGTTTTCTAACAGTGTTTCTGCATTGGTGCTTGATTATCAGATATTCCGCTTTTAACCTACTCGTCTTTATCTATGCTTTTAACTCTGCGCTGATAAGCCATGTTTTCAGAGGAGCACAACCAATACGTTCTCCTGCACAGGGTTCGCAGGTATTTTCAGTTTGTTTACCTTGAGGAAACTTATTCTCATTGCCTTATAGATTTCGGTTTTATTGTGCTGTTATTCACAAACTTTTGCGGCAAACAGCCTAACAACCTTTCAACTCATCAGAGCTCGATCAGTCACAAAGTAATCAGTTCAGATAAAAAAGCTGATTGTTCTTGGCCTTTTTAAGCGTAGCCAGTGGTCACAGGCCCAAGAACTTAAACTTATACAGGGGGAAATCGAAGGGGCATGTTAATCAATATCTGAACAGCCAGTGAAGTTACAGACAACAGGGAGAAAAGATCCAAGGCAAAAAAAATTGCTAAGGCAATAAAAATGCCCAATTGAACGCTACCTACTACCTTAAATCTGCCCCCGTAAAGGAGCGAAAACCGCTATTTCAAGAACCAAAGCTTCCGTATTTTCAGTGCTTTTGGCAAACTTGCCAAATTGAACAAATAATCTAAAGTTTTCGCATATAAATATCAAGCTGTTCATTTTCAATTCGTTTAAATTATGCAAAACCTACAGAGCTTTTGTTTGTTATAGAACTCCTGTGTATTTGGACAGAAAAACTCTGCTTATAGTAGGATGCCTTATCCTAGCAGTGACCGTGTTTTGTGCCACTGATATGATCCTGTTTGGCATTTACAAAAATCTAGTTTATCCAAAGAATGGATTAAACACGTTTGTTTCGAGTGGTACGTAGTATCAGGATAACAGGCAATTTGAGAATGATTTAAACGAAATATTATATATAAATGTTGCAGAAAATCTGGAAAACAGCAGATATAGAGCAATCGCATACAGTAACACGCATCCAAACAAGAACGTAACAGAAATCCCGAAGTTCGTACACAATTATCAACCAGATCATGCTCCCAATGCACTGCGGCTGGTCTGTTATTTTAATTTTCCTGCCAATGACCAGTCAATGCAGGTCAGTGATATTGATCCCAATTTATGCACCCATTTGAATCTGGCCTTTGCCAGTGTGGTCAATAACAGTCTTTATCTGGATAATGAACAATTAAGTAAGAATTCAGTTGTTTTTGCTGAATTCAAAATACTTATCCAGTCTGCGACTTTTTCAGGCTTTTTAGCAGAAATAATCAAACTGAAACAAACCAATGAAAATCTGAAGGTTTTAGTGTCAGTGGGTGGGGCTGGGAACCAGAACGGTTTTCCAGAAATGGTGAAAAACCACACCAACAGAAAAATGTAATTGCGTTCTCAAACAATCCACAAGGTTTCAAGTGTATGCTTTCTAGATTTATCAAATCAGTCTGGGATTATGTGCAGCAGCTTAACATTGATGGAGTGGATTTGGACTGGGAATTTCCAGGGGCTCAAATTAATTACGACCCCAATCAGAGAATGCATTTCACGCAACTTTTATCCGAAATGAGAAAATCAATTGCCAGGTGAAACGCATTAAAACACGTTTTTTCCATAAAAAAATGCATTTTCTAGAACTTTTTTTTCAATCAAAAGAGTGAGGCTTGAAACTGGTGAGTTTTTGGGGTTTGCAGGCCGTCGAATAAAACAATGTCTTTCTCACGTTTTGCAAGCACCGCTGGCTTGTATTCACATGCACAGAAGATGCATGTCGCTCGTGCTTCGAAACATCAGGAAGAAATTGTTTTCCACCACGACCTAAAACCCCGCAAAACTCACCAGTTTCAACTTTTTTTAAATTCCCGTAACGGGATCCGACAATTTTGTTTGGAATTGCAAAAATGAGCGCACTTTACCTAAGGATTTTTCAGACAAGACAAATACAAAGTTTTCCTAACTGTTGCTGTAGCTGCGATTACCGATATCGTCGATGTATCTTACGATGTTGCTTATATGAACGAGTGAGTTTCTGACAATTTTTCCAATTGAAGTGGTACATTAAATTGGCAATTTTTTCCAGATATGTGGACTTTGTCAACCTGATGAGCTACGATTTTCACTACTTTACAAGCGTCACCCCTTTCACCGGAATAAATTCGCCCCTGTACGAAACCTCCAGTGAAAAGTACTTCTTAACAACCTTAAATATAAACTATTCCAGTCACTACTGGAATTATCTTGGAATGGACAAGAGTAAGATTGTGATTGGGCTGCCCACTTATGGGCACAGCTTCAGGTATTGATTGAGCAGAATACCAGCGAATCAGTGGGCAATTTTGACTGATTTTCCAGGTTGGTAAATTCCAACAGCCATGATTTGTATGCTCCAGCTTCTGGCTATGGGAAACTGGGCAATTTGGGATTTGCTTCATATCCAATGATTTGCAATTTTCTACAAAAGAACCACATCACGCCGGTTTTCGATATGGAAAACTTCAGCCCATATGCGGCAAAGTATTACGAATGGATTTCGTTTGATGATTCGCAAAGTCTCACGTATAAAGCGGAATTTATTAAAAGCCACAATTTTGGCGGCGCAATGGTTTACTGTTTAAATGCCGATGACTTTAAAGGTATTTGTAATATGGGTGTTATAGCAGGCACGAAATTTCCGCTGATAAGTTCGATAAAAAATGCATTGGACGGTGCAACTTGAGGGATTAATCTGAAGAATGTAAGGTAGGGTAAGATCGTTGAAGTACAAAGGAGTATTATTGGCTGAATGTTTCACTTCGGTATATCGGGTACCACGTGTGTTTGAGCAAAAGGTTTATTTTTGAAAAAGACTTAAAAAATCAGTATTTATTCGTTACCACTACAATACATGTTTTTTAAGGAATAATAGGCGATTCTTGGAATATTTGACTATATTTTAACTATTATTTTCTCAAGGCGTTGTTTAAGGCGGTTTTAAAGCTTAGCTTTAGGTAGAGGATGAGTGAGATGGTTGAAAATTTCATTTTTATGAGATAGTGAATATATAAGACTTCAGGCACATTAAATACCTTATTTATAATTGAATCTTTATTTATTGCGGTCACAGGAATATTTGCTTCCTTACAGGCAAATGGCTGTATTTTGCAGATAAAGTCACCATTTAATACTATCTGTGATATTGACTTATCAAGGGTAAATTTAGATTAAATTAATTAGAAAACTGGGATGGTTGTAGTAACAACAGGCTAAATTAGCAGAAACTGTTCTCATGATTATCGACTTTCAACCTAACGCAAGTACAAAGTTTAGTAATATACAGTTATTATACAAACATGGGCCTGAATATTTACAATTTCACATGTGTGAGCTCAAGTCGCTAAAATTGTATACGATTTTTATCGGAAAGGAGCGAGGAATGCAACGAGTTGATTGATAAAATTGTTATCGGCTTCAGATCAAAAATAATCGATATTTAACCGCCAATATTGTTCTTATTGTAGATTAAAACACTAAATGTGCGTAAGTCTTAGGTCGAAACCTATGGATTGAGCGCAAAAAAACACGCATGGGAAATTTTTACCAGATCGAAAATTTTCTAGGGGTAGAAGTCGATATTTTCAAACAATATCAAATCTCTCAAAATAGCTCGATTTCTACATCATTTTCATTCATTTTGAGAAAACGAGGAAAAAAGCTTACTGAAAAAACTTTTAATATTTATTATTTATTGAAATTGTTCATCGAAAAAATTTTATTGGTATTTTTGGACGATTTTAAGCGATTTTCAACCGATGATATCTTCCTTATCAAAGAGCAAAATACTATAAATATGTGCATATAGAGTAGCTTCTTAGGAGAAAAACCACGCACTGAAATGGAAAAACACGCACGTTAAAAGTTTTGCTAGACTTAGGCCCTTCAGATCGCAAAAATTTGGTTGATTTTTAAGGCTCACGATCATCAACCGACTATGGCTTGAACCGTCCTCTTTTGTATATTTCCTTAATTTGAAATCCTGTACATTTAGGCGAAGGAACTGGGAAAGCTGACATGCAAACTTAACATAGAAAATTTAAAACACTGTAATATTTTCTTTTGCTACATTGCACTCCAATAGAATATTTTTGATATTATCACAGAAGCTCTGAGAACCACATATCAGTACTTTAAAACTACCCTTCACTGATTCCATGAATCTTTGAATATCCTCAACGGTAATTCTATTAAAATGTACAATTTCGTTGTATTTTTTGTCAAAGCTGTGCTTGTTTGGCCCCGATATGAACAGTTCGCATTGGAAATTCCAATAATCTTTCAGCTTGTACAATTCGTCCCTGAGCAAAATGTTCTTTTCTTGGCAGCAAAAAATCAATGTGAGAAAACAGTAGCAGTCTTCGTTATTTAACATTTTGATCAGTATATTGTAAAATGGAGCTAAACCAGTACCTTGGGCTATGAAAAGCATATGTTTCTGTTCGTAGTTTATCCGAAAATCCCCATAAGGTCCTCTCCAAAGTGTTTCAGTTCCAACCCGCAGTGTCTTGAACAGGTTGGAGGCGCGACCATTTTCATAGAGTTTTACCAGCACAGTGAAGCAATTTGAAACTTGATTTTCCACATAAATAGGAGTGTAGGCTTTCTGAAACATTTCCCCGTGTATTCTCCCTTTGAAGAGCAAGTACTGGCCAGGTTCATAGACAACGTTAGTACTTGCACTTTGGGGGCGACATTTTTCAGGTCTTACATACTGAAACGTGAAAAACCGCGAATCTTTAGTGTGGCCCTTCGTAGCAGCAAGCCTAAATACACTGTAGGAGGTCAATGAAAGACAGTTAGCGAGGGTTTGTGAGCTGCACTTTGCAGCCCTAAATTTTCTTAGCTGGTCTTCATAGACGTCCAAAATGCAAGGGCTGCACCCGGAATTACAACAGTCTGATTCATCGGGCTTGATTGGGGGCTCCATTTTTCCGTAAACTTTGCATAACGGATTAAATTAAATAAATAAAAGGGTGAATTTGAAAACTTATGTGATGTGTGAGCTAACCTAATTTTGGTGATTTTCGACAGATCATAGCGGTGTCTCACTCACACTCTCTGATCAGTGTTGTTGCTAGTTAGCGATGACGGCATAGGCGAGGTGCAATTTATATTTTTTAACGTTATTTAATTATCATCGGGTGTTTATGCTGCAAAAGTGATTTAAAAAATCTTATAAAAGGGAAAATTAATTGAATAAACTGAAAATGTTCAGAAGATGCTTAAAGTATTAAAATAGAAAAAATTTTAATAACTGGAGAAATTCCAGATCGTCTACTAAAAATATCCGTAATAAGTAAGTTATAATTTTGAATTTCGATGAGGAACTGATTCATTACAACATAAATAGTAATCGATTGGGCCCCACTTTTTCAGTTTGAAGATGTTTGCCATTCTGCAATTTAAATTGGAGTTTGGGATTGAGCCAAACAAAAATATTTATATGAAAAAACTGAGACGGTGTTCACAAGCGTGTTTCATTTGTTGCAGCGTTTTGCAATGGAATCCAGAAAAGTTCCTGCTAAAGGTGCGTCTAGATATAAGAAAAAATATGAAAATTCTCAAAATTGATACAATCGAATTAAAATTCTCTGCATCTAAGCTTGAGCTGGAAGATCGCCGAAGAAATAATAATCGTGAATAACGAAATCGATGTCTCTCGTTGCCTGCTTTGTTCAATCAACGCATTATTAACATTTTTGTACAAATGAGGCGCTTATCAGATCCACCTCGGTAATTAGTACTCATATCTTCGGAATTATACGAGTCATCGCAAGTTACGACTGGTCGGCTTATCCGACTATCATCAATTGACCACTCGTCATCTCAACTTGTATTTAGATTGACCATGACCACACTTCGATATACTTGTATCGAATCTGAATATTATTTCTTTTATACATGCATTATTACTAATTGCGAGTTATATTGAAAATCAACGCTTCAAAATGATTTTTAGAAGAAAAATATATTGGATGCACGTACTTTACCACTTAGTGATAATTTCGTTTGTCAAATGTAATTTTTTAGTTTGATCCAAACGCGGAAATTGCTTCAAAAAATTGATTCTACTCTGCACAATTGCAACTGCACAATTTATCACAGTACTGCACCTCACAACATCAGTTTCTATTGTTAAAATTAATTAATTAAGAAACTCCCTTCTTCAAATAATCTCGGAAACTTCCGTTTGCACGGACAAATTAGGACTCATTTTCGAACTGGATAAATTCTGATTTGCTGCTAGCGAATTGATTTCCATTTGAAGTTTGATTTAGTGCATTTATTGTTCGGTGGGGCGTGTTTTTGGACAAAACTTGTACTTCAATTGGTGAAAGTTTCACATGCTCTTAGTTGAGCTAAAGAAACGTTTGTTTCCCTTTTAACGCCACAGAGATTAAAGGAGATCTCGAAAAAAGTTTTGAAATTTGTTCAGCAGTTTAGTTGGTAGGGAATTTCTTCAAATGGTTTTTTATGCCTGGTTCTGTTGCTTTAACAGTCATTTGGAGCCACTTTCATTTTCTTCAATAACTTTTGTTTCTTT